AACAATTTCTACCACACAAGACTGTTGGGAAAATTAAATGAAATAGCACATGTATACTTAGATCAAGGGCTGGCATGTGCTATGAGCTGAAGAGTTTTAAGTACATTAGCTATTAGGTAGGGTTTGTCAAAGTGTGGGGTCTAGGAACAATACATATCAGAATTTCTAGACATATCAAACAAGAAAATCCCAAAGTGATTCCTAGGCACATCAATTTTTGAGAACCATTGCTCTGGGTAAAGAAGAATCACTGAAGAGTAATAAGGAAGTGAGTGACATCTTTAGTACATTTTGGAAGGCAGCATAGTGACACAAGGTAGCTTTATGCTTGAGTCAGGGAGACCAGTTAGAAAGTTGCTGCAATGGTCCTGTTGATAAAACATAGTTGAGAAGTAATTAGCGTGATGTAGACTGAAAGAACATGATAAATTCATGTAATATTTAAAATATAAAAGACAAAGATTTTGAAATTGGGTGAATGTACAGGGAGGAGAAATGCCAGGGTTTAGGGCATCTTCAAAAGGAAAACTGTGGTTCCTCCTTTTCAACCCTTCCTACTTACACATTTACTTTCAATGTGTAACTTAAAAGTCACATCATTAACTTTTTATAAAATGGAATATAATCATTTTATAAAATGATTAAAAAATCATTTATAATATGATTAGTGATTTTAAAAGGACAATTTCAGAGGTGCAGAATATTAGCCAAAATAGTAAAGAGACACGTATAAAGAGTATATATATGCTAAGGAGTTGTCTCCTTGCCCACTGTGCTCAGATTGAGATCAATTTCTTCTTATAGCCATGGACACTGGAGTGCCTTTTGGAAGTTCTTAAAATAGCTGCACAATAAAGAATGCAATTTCATTTGTCTAAAATGCAATTTCAGTTGTCTATTGAAAGGCTCATAACCAAGAATAATAAATAAATTTAAAAACTCAGTGGAGGGAGTGAGGCCAAAGCAGAAGGACAAAAAATATATATTTCTTCATACTTCAATTCATAAAGTCTTTTTAGTGAGTAACCAAAAAGGACAGATAGCACTTCCACAGGTGTCCACCATTAAACAGTTTCTGGCAAATAACGATCCTACTTTCTTCTATATTTTTAAATAAACCAAATAATCAGAAATATGGAAATGCTGTTCACTAAGTTGCTTCAATATAAACATCACAGAAATCAAGGAATTGGGGTTTTCACAACAGATAACCAGCAAAAACTCAATCTTGGATCAACACTTCATATCTCCCGCCTAGCTCCTAATTTCAGAAAGACAACCATTGTTTTGAGTTTTAAGATCTTCTAAAAAACAATTCGACATTTAATACTTTTCTTAATTTGGGTATACATGTGTTATTACTTTTTCCTTGGCTTGCCTGTCAAAGTCAAAGAATGCAAGAACCAAGAGAACCACTAAAAACCATCTGGTGCAACCCTTTAATTTTTGAAAGTAAAATCCAAAGATATTAAACAAATTTCCAGTGTCACACAGCCAAGCAGAAGAATTAAATTTATCTTCATACAAGTTTATCTTCAAACTTTTATACACTTCCTTCACCATGTAAGTGATGGCCACATTTATCATTTTGCCCTGAATTTTCTGCTAAGTAGCACTACAACATTTCTAAGAACTAATTGTTTTAAGGTAAGTTCCAAATCATAAAATGCAGGTTTTTTTTCAATTGCTAAAAGAGGCATCCCTTCACCTAACCAACTTCTCTCGATGACTTCTTTAATTATGTCTGTGTTGGCTCCATTATCCTCCTACCACTAAAAAAACAGAGTTACTCCCACCTGTCTTCTTATCTCCATGATTTGGCCCCATAATAAAATTTTTAAAACCTTACATCTCGTACTACTTCCCCTCAGCACATAACATTACTTAGTATGATAGGGTGCACATAAAAGAGCCAAGGGGTATCATGACAAATGCCTATCTTCTACTACCCCCCTTCAATCTATAGCCAAAGGAGAGAGATCATTTGCATTACTGCTAGTGGCTCTTCCCCGTACCTGGAAAACTCATTTCCCTGATTTCTACTTGCTGAAATCCATCAATCCTCTATGATTCAGTTAAAAATTCACATAGTGGCTGGCTAAGGCAAAAAAAAAAAAAAAAAGACAGTAAAGTTCCCTGAAAATCATCTAAAGAGATAAAGAAAAGGCAAAATACAGATGCCCAGAGGCCAAACAGAAGATAATTTCACAAAGGAAGCATCAAGTAAGTACAGGATGATATAACACTTGTTGAATTTGGCAAACTGGTAATGAAGTGAAAGCCTTACAGAAAAGAAACTCAAGTGCAGTGGGTTAAAGAGTGAAAGAGAGTCAAGGAAATATTAACAAAAAGATGAGTATGAAAAAAACAGGAGAAATTTTTCTGTGGCGAAAAGGGGAAATAGTGTGGCTTTAATGTGGAGTGGTGGCTCCGTTTTCTTTTTAAAAGGGAGAATATTTGAACAAGTTTATATGTAGAGAGAAAAGAGACAATGAAGAGAAAGAAGTTGTAAATACAGACAGGGAATTAAATGTCAGAGCAAAGTTGTAGAAGAGGTAGAAGGAACTGGTAGAAGGAACCAAGTCCAAAGCCAGAACTGAATGAAGATAAGATGGTGGTCATTTGCCCCAAGGGGAAGAAATATTGGGGCTCAAATAAGTACTGATAAAGTTTTGCTAAGAAGAACATGAAAGGAACTGTCTGATTACTCTTAATCATAAAGCTGGCAGTGTTTGGGGAAAGGTGCATTTGACAGTAGCAGCATTAGTACCAGCAATAATTTGCATCGTCAGTTTTCTCCACAGTTCTCAGCAGCCAGAGACAGAACTGGAGAAGCAAACAACCATTTTATTCTGTCATTCAAGAATCCATACCATTTGGTTTATAATATTTTTGCAGCTTTTAAAGAATTTTGCCTTCCACTATAATTATACACAACTCTGCCTACCACTCCACTGTCTTCTTCAGTGACAGCACTAAATTGAAAGTCAATAAATTCTAGGTAAAAGAATGGATACGGTCACACAGTATTTAAAATATTGCAATATAATTTAAGATAATCCTGTGCTTCTCTACCACCTCACATATAAGTCAATGACATCATAAAGACTAAGTTTACCACTTCAGATGTTTAGAACAACAATGTAACAGATTAGGATACACCCCTTAATTAATCACGTGTTTTAACAAATCATTAAAAGTAAATGTTGCTTTGGTTCATGACAGTCTTACATACAGCATCTAAACACCAGTATCTATTTTAAACAAAAATACAGCTGAATGGTTAGCTAATTGCTTTTAACTCAGAAACTCAGATATTTGCATTCCACTTGAAGCAAAAGGTATTTTCTTCCAAAGTGTAAAAAAGTTGCTTTAAATTATGGCTATTTCCAGTAGACTTCACATACTTCCATAAACCTTCCAGATTTCTCATTCTTTGGAATTAGATGCATTAGAAGATCTCTACAGAATCTCATCAACCAATTACGCCTATGGATCCAGTCTGTTTACATTCCAATTCTGCACACACTCCCCTACACACAATTAAACAACTGGTTTGGGGATAAGCATCAGCAACACCTGTGGACCATCAAGTGCCATCCTTGCCCAATAGGGGTTAGGTACCACACCTGAATGCCAGCTCTCTGATAGCTAAGCAACTCCAAAGGCGAGCTGTCATTTTGCTGACTGGAGTACTGAAGAAGCTGGAGACAGACCTGCTTGTCCAAAACCCATCAGAAATTAACAGATATCCTAAACCTGGATAAGGCGGAAACGAAAATGTCCAAGTCCTTTGCTTTAAAGAGAATGCTGTCCGTTTGGGGGAAGGGCAGCAAGGAAAAAGAGAAAACGAGCCCCCACTCCCAACACATCTTTCTCTCCACACAGGAATATGTGGAAACGTCCCTTGGAAGCAGCTTCTACAAAGTCGGATGTCCTAGAGTCCTCAAGAAGCACTGATCTGGGAACGCAAACAGCCAGCCACCTCCTGGCCACCTCCAAGTAAAGCAAGAGGGTTGGGGGTGTAGGATTAGGTTTTGGAGGGGGTCTTCACCCCAAGGGGAAGGAAGGCAAGAGAGGAGGTGGTCCAGAAAGTCCAGGGCTTGGAGCGCAGTGCAAGGGGAGAAATTGGGGCAGAGGGGAGGAAAGGGGATGGGCACTTGGTTTTTACCACAGTTGCGGTAAGGTGTGGTGGTGAGGAGTCACACCATCCAGGTGGAATCCTCAGCGTAAGACCAGAGGCTCCACCGTCACGACCGTTCCCCCTCCCCTCCAACACACACCTGCCCTACGACCCGAAGGTGGCACTCTCGCGGTCAAGGGCGACGTGAGGCGCCGAGGGCAGGGCGCACCGGGACCAATACGCAGGTGGCCCCGGGTCCTCCTCGGGCTCACCTGGAGAGAACCAGGCCCCCGGGGCTCCTCGCCTCAGCCCCCTCGCCCCCTCGCACTCACCCAGATCATGAGGCTGTCGCACAGCGACAGCTCAGGCTGCGGCAGCGGCTGCGTCTCCTCCATGGCCGGGGCAGCCGTCGACTACGCCGCGGACACCGACACCTCCCTCCTCCCGGCGCTCCTCAGGAGCCGGCGTCGAGACCTGCTAGCCCGCGGGGAAAGCTCGGTAGCCAGGCCCAGCGCCGGCGCCGCTCACGCGCGAAACCTCGCGCAGCCGACGTCGCGGCGTAACCCCCTCCTCACCCGCCCGCGCCTCGCTCCTGCGTTCGCCCCCTCCCCCGTCTGGGCCCGGCCGCGCTGCTCGGCACCTGAGCCCCGCCCCCTCCCCGCCCCTCCTCCCCCCTCTCCGCTTCCCGCCCTCCCCTCCGTCCCACTCCTACACACCTCGCCCCGCTGAGTGACCTGGGCGCGCACCAGTCACAAAGAAGCTAGGTACCCGAGGGGCGGGCGGGGCGGGGAGAGGGCGGGAAGAGCGGGAGTGGGTTGCGCAGGAGGAAAACTGATTGGACGTGCCCTCGTGGGCTCTGACCAATCAATGTGAGACAAGCCGCCGCTGCGGGAGAGAGCGAGGGTGGGTGGGAAGAGGTTTATGACCTGGCAGGTGCAGTGAGGGCGAGAGTGGGAGGTTGCGCGCGGGGGAGGCGAGCGCGCGTGCGCGACGGGGATTGGCTAGGCTGGAGCTTCCTCCGGCCCCAAGGGGCAGAAGGGGCGGTAAGGCCCCTGCGGGGCTCAGGCGTCTTCCCGCCTCCTCCTTCGCGGTAGCGCGCGTCCTGGCTGTATCTGTGGAGACCCACTCCTGCTTCCACACTGTCTTCCGAAGTAGGTCGTACCCGTGAATTAAAACCACTCGAGGAAGGACGAGCTGATTTTTCTCCTAGACGCTCATTGGAAAGGGACATTTTAATTTGCAGACGTGTGTCCTAAAGAAAAGACCTTAATGCTGTTTAAATGAAATAAGCTCTCACGGAATCACAAATCATAGATGATTTTATTTTAAATGAGGCAAAAGGGGAAATCATTTCAGCTATCAAGATGAAAAATGATATCTTAGTTTTCGGAAAACATGGAAGATACCAATGTACCCATTTTCGTCTGGCGGTAGAAAATCTTTTTTCTGAGGACGTTGGGAAGAGGGAGAGGCATAAAATTGGAAGCTCTCCAAGGTACTAATAGATGGCTTAGGTTATTGAAAAGGGCTAGAATATTCTTAGTCTTCCTGTGACTTCTGTCATTCATAAACTCATTTGTGCTCTGAGTGAAAAACAGCTGGCTTTTTTTAATATATATTGCTGCGTTTTTATATTTAGACATTGAAAAGTTAAAACTGATGGAGGGCTGCAATTAAAAGCCCCCAAATGTAAATCAGTCTCATTCTAAAAATACAGTACATTCTAAAAATAACGTTTGCTATTGGTTCGGTGAACATTATTCCAGAACTTTCTTAACGCCTCTGAAGTAGTTCATATTCCAGACACTAGGAACACTGGTAAAGTATCTTAACGAAAACTACAGGATTTAGGAATTGAAGACCTGGTTGGAATCTTCATTACCCACTGGCTATTCTCCCATGGACCCCAAACTCCACATTCCTAAAATCATTGTAATTAAAACGTAAACATACATTGTAAATGTAAATTGTAAATTTTACACTTTGCGAATATGGGTTACTATAATCATATGTACTGAGAAGCACAGGAGAACTTCTCAACAAATTTATCACTGAGAACCACAGGTGATTGGATTACTCAAAATATTTAATGAGAATAACTCAGGGAAATTGAGTTTGTTTCTGGGTTCTGTAGTGGGTAATTTCTCAGGGAAACATGCGCAATTTATTTCATGATGCTAGAACCAATGGACAAATATGTGAAGGATATGGTCAGTGAATTGAGAAAAAAAGAAATACAAATATTTTAAACAAATGTAAAAAAGTCAGAAAAACAACATGAATCACTAGAATAGAACAACTAAAAAGAAAATATTGAAAGATTGAAGTGTGCTTTTATGCATAACTGGAACAAGCATTTTAGAAAAAAATTGACAATCTTTATCAGGAAACTTTAAAATATCCATATCATTTAAACTAATAATTCCACTTCCAGTCAAAAATTATTGAAATCATCAAAAATGCAAAGGCTTTGAACCCCCAGTGATATATTATTGAACAATTGTGCAATTGATGGATACATGTCCAATAAGCAAGAAAGATTAAATACATTATAGCAGATTTGTAAGATAGAATATTCAGCAACTAATAAAAATTATGTTTCAGAGAATATTTGATAATTCAGTTGTCACAATGTATAGTATTAAATAAAAATTTAGATAAAAGTATCAGCCATCTGACCTCAGTTTTATAGATATTATTTATGTATTTTAATATGTACATAGTAAGAAGAAAAAGGAATAATCATCAAACTACTGTTATGTTTAGATATGGATGACAAGTAATTACTTTCTGTTATCTTTTATATTTTTTAGTCTTTCTACAATGAGTTTGTATTACTTTATAATCAGAGAAAAAAGACATTAGAAGAAATGCCAAATACAACATGGGCTATCTCTCCAACTATTAAATTAGCATTAATTTTTTAGAAGTTGGCATTCATGTTTGGAGAGTAGAATGAAACTAACTTTTCAACACTAGTTGGAGATTATAAACTGGTGCAATCTTTCTTAAAATTTTTGACAGTGTATATCAAGAGCCTTTAAAATGTTCAAAGCCTTTAAGACAACAATTTCACTTTTAGACTCTATTCTAAGAAAATAATAAAGGCATATAAAATGCTTAATACAAATACTAGCTTGTAGTTGCTGAATACATTTTAGCTATTCTATGCACTGTTTGTGTGTCTTGGAGGGGGTGTGTGTGTGTGTGTGTGTGTGTGTGTGTGTAAGTGTGTATTTGCACTCATACAAGAAAAAACCTGAAAGAAAATATTAGTAAAAGTTATTTACAGTAATTTTTACCTTCTCATTTTCCAATTTCACCAAATTATTACCTTTTTAATTAAAACAAAACCAAACTTCTTTTTGTCATCGAGGGAGAGATGGGATCAGGAAGAGATTTTAACTCTGATTTGGTCTATAAGTATATAGATAAATGATAAGAGGAGAAAATCCCTAACTAGGCACCTTAAATAGAACTGTCGTAGGCTCTATTTATAAAGAGGATGTCTATGCCTCTATTTATAAAGAGGATGTCTATGCCTTGCACATACAGGTGATCAAATAAAGAAATGGAAAAGAATTCTAAGGTTGTTCCTGAAACTGAATCTGAATCTTAACTTTTGAGGATCTTTGTTATAGCAGACTGTTGTAAGTTGGATTTTCTAGGAAGTAGACCCTAAGATGGAAATTAGCATGCAGGAGGTTTATTAAGAAATGCTTTGGGGAATAACAGCTGTGGGAGGGAAGGAAAGGAAGCAGAAGGAAAATACAGGCAGTGGTGCCGTCCTTATGAACGTTTCGATTGATCCCTGGGGCGCCCTGAAGCTGGAATGTCCTTTCCAAATTATTCCAAGTTTGGATGAAGGAAGCCTGGTTTTTATGCCTTTATATTGACAAATCATTACATGTGGGTTGCCCTAGACAGGTGGCATGGCAGCCTAGGCAATTCACAAAGAAGGCTGATGGCTGATGGCTGATGGCTGTCTACTGGGCGCATTTCCAGATGCTGGAAATATCCAGGCAGCACATCACAGTATCCTCTGCACAGCAGTAGCACCTACAGTCACTCTGGGTGGGTGTGAGGGTGCCATCGCTCAGAATGGGAAAGCATGGTGTCAGAAAAAAGTGTGGGCTAGCAACCGTAAATGTGGCAGTTACAGTATCATAACCACAAAGTTAAAATAGTCAAAGAGGGAAAATGTTGGCATCCTTGGTTCATGGACTGAGAAGTCTCCAAAATTAGAAGGGATTGTGGCCATAGTTATAATTTCATGTACGGGCTTAGTGTCAAATAGCTAAATGAATGATATCTTTGAGGATTTAAGACTGAGATGCCTGGGAAAACAAAATTTACAAAAAAGATAAATTACAATGCAGGGTAATCTTATCAATTATGTTTTAAACTTATAGGAAAAGTGCTTAGTTTGCCATTTATTGAGTGAAAATAAATATAACTGTTTCCTTTATTGAGTATATTTAAACTCATCCCAAAGTTCTAAATATAATTGAACATAATTATTTTCTCTTGTCCTAAATAACTCAATGATAAAAAATTTAGATAGCAAGGTATATGTAGCATTTTTTCAAATACTTAAAAACATGTAAAATAGGCATTTAGTAAAATGTACTGATAACAAAAGTATCATTTAAACATGTAAATCCTCTAGTTTATATCTTAGTTTTTCTTAGTGAATAACATGTCATCACTTTATACTCTTAAAAGAGATGATCCATGCTTCTCATTCAGTCAGTGACCTATTTTTTATGTACAAAAATCCTTCTAATCCATTGTAAGCAGGTTTTTAAAACAAAGACAAAACAGTGACACATAGCCAGTGCCTAATCATTTAATCCACAGATGTTTCTCTCTAAAAAGAAAAATAATCTAACTTTCTAGTATAGCTACTCAGGGTATCTTCTATTTAAGAGTGTTGAAAATTAATATTTTAAAAAGAAAAACCCTTTATATTATATTATATATATATAAGTAGATAAAATCATATGCATAAGACTGGTTTCACAGAATTAAGAAGAGGATGGTGTCTACTGAGAACAAAGATTACTATGTTAGAAATGCTATTTATATTTTATTATAGCTTGAGAAAAACTATATTTAAAATTCTTGTAGCTAAATGTGGTATTGTAAAGCCTCCACATGTATGTGAATTGAAAATACATAAAAGTGATATTGGCCTAAGGAGAAAGAATATCTTGTTCACTCTCCTCCATGTGTTAGATGAGAATAATTTATATAGAATGTAATACATTTTAAAATGCCAAAAATGTTAGAGGGAAGAATTTATCAAATCATTTAAGGACAGAAGAAAAGGGGGCTACTTAATCACAAGCAATAACAAGTTGGACTGTAAGAACGAAGAACGAGAGTGAGAATGCCAGGAAAGATGTGCAAAGGATTTATTAATGTGAGCAGTTGTAGAAAATTCCTTGAAACCCAGTTATAGCTAATGAAATTTTTGAAATGATTTATCCAAGTAAATGAGTACTTTCTAGTGTGACTTGGGAATATTCCCCAGAGGACCTTAAAACAAAATAAAACAACCAAAAAACAATGAAAAACAAAACTGTGTAGAGCTTAGCCTTATACAGAAAAGAGAAAAGCTGCACATTTCATTGAAGTAGAGGAAAATGTTTTGTATGAGCACAATTGGTGACTAAGAACATATCCAATCTTAAAGCTATGACCAATGATAATAATAGCTAAAATTTATGGAATACTTATTAGGTGCTATGCACTATTCTAAGTGCTTCACTGATGTTAATTCACATATCCTTAACAGTCCAATAAGGTAGATAGCATTTTTCATCTTTATTTTACAGATGAGAAAGCTGATACATAGAGAGGCACCCAAGCTCCTTCTGCTAATAAGTTGCATATCTCAGAAAATTTCTTTCCAGATGTGAAGAAGAGAATCCTCCTAAGAGAGATTAGAGCTGATTTTAAAAGACAAACATCACAAAATAAAATATCACATGTGCAATCCTTCTTCTTCAGCCATTGTGGTTTCTATATTTTCCATAGTTACTGAAACAGCTCTTCAGGCAGTCAACATTCTTTTGTTCAACACTGTGAAACAAGCAAATCCATCATGTCTAGGTGAATGAAATTAATTATTACCTATTATAGAATCTGCTGACTATAGGTTAATGACTACAATTGTTGACTCAGGGATCTTGAATGTATTAAGCTTTTGGCATTTTGTATCTGAAGATGAGCTTGAAGGAATATTTTTACCCAGTTTTTCTTATAAACTTCACATGATTTTTCTAAAGAATAAGTTGGCCATTTGGATTAAGTAACTGGCCTATTTGTGAGCCTGTATTTTTTTTATATGCAAAGGTTTTTTTTTTTAGGTTATAGTTGCCACATCTAGATAGATGGATAGATAGATACATGGAGAGTTGTATATGCGTAATTCAAGACTAACAGAAATAATTTCACTTTACCCTTAAACACTTCAGCATACATGTCTTAGGAATAAGGATATTCTTTTACAAAATCACATATAATTACCACACTTGGAAAATTTAACATGATACAACATTATTCTCTAATATGCAATCCCTCTTTAAATTTACCTAATTGTCCCCACTTATTCCTTTCTTTCTGCCTTTCTTTTCTTGTATCCAAAATTGAGGAATCAAGGATCATGCATTGTATTTATTTTCATGCTTTCCTCGAATCTAGGTCACTGCCCCAGGCTTTGTGTGTGTGATCTTTCATGACAGCAACATTTTTGAAAAGTCTAGTCTAGTAGACTTGGATTAGTTTCTTCATGGTAAGATTTGATTTAACTATTTTTGGAAGAAATTATGTTGATTAGTGCATCACTTTAGCAGCAGCATGGTGCTGGATTGTCTGATTATTCAAAATGTTAAATTTTATTGATTGATTAGAATGGGGGTCCATTAGATTTCTTCAGTGTAAAGGCATTTTCTCCATTATAATTACTAAATAATCTGAGACTGTGTGAGTACATTATTCCCCCAGATTTTTACTCCAATACTTTTAGCATACATTGATAATTATTGCCAGAATCGAGTAGTACCATGGTGGTTGGAATAGGGTGATTTTATATTTCCATTACTCCTTCCACATCTATTAGGTGGCATTATTCTGTGAATAAGAGTTTTTCCTCCTTTCTCCATACCCACCTTTAAATTTTTCAAAGTGTGTATGTGAACTCACATTTATTTTTATTCAATATGTTATAATTTATTCCTGTCACTATTCATTTTAATCATCAATCTATGCCTAGTTCAGCCAGTGGGACCCCCTTCACATTGGCTTCTGCATCCTTTTTGCATACCTCTAGTGTTTTTTGAGTGATTCCATACTTTATGGCACAAAATGTTCCAGGCTCCCTTTGTATTTTCCTTGACCCTATCCTGGAATTAGCCATTTTTCCGAGGATCTCTAGTGCTATGTTATAGGAAATGACATTTAGTAAGGCTGGATTTTAATGACCAAAGAAGGCTCCATTCATAATTACAATTTCATTCCTTGGAAATTAGATTTTCATCTCCTGTTAAAATAGGGAAATCCCTACAAAACTAAAATGTTGAACCTAATAGTCATTTACACTTAGGGTGAAAGTATTTAACAGCCTGTTAATTTTAATAAGAGATAGGAAGCTGAGAGAATGAGGACACCGAATCACAGGCAATGGTGAAGTGAGAGTGGCCCATGAAGGAAGAAAGAAAGATAACATCAATTTCTTCTATTCCAGGCACCACCACATACATGATTTAAATTAATCCCCATAACAATCTTATTTTTGCAAGTGAGGATGTAACTTGTTTAAAGTTACAGTTTCTATGGCAGATAGCTCAGAACTAAAACTCTTACTTACTTGACCTTAAAATATTTATCTGAACCTACTACCACCCCATGCCATTCTCCAAGCCAAGCAAGGAGGTCTGGGGCCTAAGAAAACAAGTTTCACCCACTTCATGTTTCAAGAAGGGCAAACTCTAGTCACACTGCCTTCCCTGTTTCTTGAAGTTGTTCATTGTGACCTGCATGCACAGCCACCCTCACAAGCATTGTCCTTCAGTTGAGAATGAGGCTAAAATGTTTTTCTCTACTGCTCAGGAAGTCTGTGGGAAACAATTTCCTATTTCATTTGCTTTCAGTGTTGATTCAAAAAGAACAGATAGGCATCTTAAGCTGAATGCTGTCTCAGTCGGATAATTCACTACAAGTACTATCTGTTGCCAGAAGTTAGTGCTGGTGGTGGGAAAGCTTGTTGCAGGCTTGTAAGAGATAACTGGAGAAAGCTGCCTGAGAAACAATGTTAGGTACAAAGCCCAGAAGAACACGTTTTTCTCCCCTCTTTATTGTTACCTTGGTCAAGTTCCTGAACTCTCTTGGCTCTTAGTTTTCTCACTATAAATGGAAATAAAACAGCTTGCCTGCCTGAAGAAATGAGGTAGGCTATTGAGGACAATATGAACAACCACATATTAAGTATCTTCTATAGGTAGAGCATTTCCTTTGACATTAGAAATGTGGAGAAATATAAGGCAGAACCCCTACCCATGCTATGCTTGCCATCAAGTTGGAGATGCAGAACTTCCATGCAAAAAAGACAAATAACACAAAGATATATTTGTAACACAGCATATGAGCATCAAAGACAAGTGAAAGAGTGAATCACCAAGGACATTATCAGCTTCCCATCTTAAATTAATAATAAAGGACACCTTTCTCTTTTTTCCTACCAATGTTCTAAAAAGAAATCAAGGAAGAAAGGAATAAAGGACCAAAGGAATGAATGAAAAAGTAAAAAGGAAAAAGGAAAGAGGAAAAACAGAAGGAATGGTAAAAGCAACTGTCTAGTGAAACACAAAAGTAAGTATAATGTAGTCTTAGTTTGTAACTCCTGCTTTTTCTTATATGATTTAAAGGAAACCGCACAAAACAATAATTATAAATTTATGTTGATATGCACATAATGTATCAAATTGTAATTTGTGACAATAAAAACATAAAGAGAGGAGTGGAGCTGTATAGGAGCAAACATTTTGTATTCAATTAAAACTAAGTTGATATTAATTAAAATTAGATTGTTATAAATTAAAATGTTAATTGTAATCCCTAGGGCAAGCACTAAGAATACAACTGGGAGAGGCAAAGACATAACATGTAACCAAAATGTTTGTACCCTCATAATACCCTGAAATAAAAAAAGAAATAAGAAAGGAATAAAATTGGCATAGTCTGAAATATATTTAACACGAAAGAGGCAATAATGGAGGAATTTAGAGAAACAAAGATATAAGACATATAGAAAACAAATAGCAAAATAGCAGAAGTCCTTCCTTACCAGTAATTATATCAAAAGTAATCAGATGAAAATATAACCAAAAGGCAAATGTTGGCAAAATAGATTTAAAAACATGATCCAACCATATGCTGTCTACAAGAGACTCTCTTTAGATCTAAAGACAAAAAGAAGTTGAAAGTTAAGAGATTGAAAAAAGCTATTTTATGCAAACACTAACCACAAGGCAACTGGAGTAGCTATATTAATATCAGGCAATACAGAGTTGAAGAAAAAAATCATTACAACAGACAAAGATATAATGATAAAAGAATCAATTCATCAAGAAAATATACCAATTATAAACCTATAATCAGAGCCCAAAATATATGAAGCAAAGACTGACAATTAAAGTGAAAAGTAGATAATTCAACAATAATAGTAGGGCACTTTTATACTCCACTGTCAACAATGAATAGAACAATTAGAATATCAAGAAGGACATAGAGGACTTGAACAACACTGTAAATCAACTAGATCTGAAAGACATACACGCATAGAACACTCCACTCAAAAACAGCAAAATACACATTCTTCTTAAGTGCACATGGATCATTCTCCAAGTAGACCATATGTTAGGCCACAAAACAAATCTCAATACATTTTAACAGACTGAAATCATACAAAATATCTTCTCTGACCACAGTGGAATGAAATAGAAATCAATAACACAAGAAAAACTTGAAAATTCACAAATATTTGGAAATTAAATAACATACTCTTAGACAATCAATTGGCCAAAGAAGAAATCACAAGGGGATTTAAAAAATAGAGATGAATGAAAAGGAAAACACAACATACCAAAACTTACGAGGTGCAATGAAAGCAATGTTCAGAGGGAAATTTATAGTTTTAAATGCCCACAATAAAGAAAAGAAAAATCTTATATCAATAAGCTAACATTCCTAAGTAACTAGCAAAGAAAGAGCAAACGAAGCCCAAAGCAAACAGAATGACTGAAATAATAAAGAGATAAATGAAATAGAGAACAGAAAAACGAGAGAGAATTAACGAAACCAAAAGTTGGTTTTTTTAAAAGATCAACAAAATTGCCAAACCTTTGGTTTAACTGGTGAAGACAAAAATAAGAATTAAATTACATAAAAAATTAAAATGATGACATTACTATTAGCTTTATAGAAATAAGAATTATGAGAGTGCTATGAACATTCATTTATAAACAAATTATATAACTTAAACAAAATGAACAGATTCCTAAAACACACATACTACCAAAACTGACTCAAGAAGAAATAGAAAATCTGAATAGAACTAAAACAAATAAGGTTGAATTAGCAGTCAAAAACTCTAATAAAGAATATCTCAGGACTGGATGGCTTCACTGGTGAAATCTACCAAATGTGTTTTTGAAGAACACCAATCCTTCTCAAACTCTTCCAAGAAATAGAAGAGAAGGCAACACTTCCTAACTCATTCTGTGAGGCTAGCATTACCTTGATACCAAAGCCAGATAAAGACATGACAAGAAAATGTAACTGCAGGACACTGTCTCTTATGAATATGGATACAAAAATCCTCAACAAAATACAGGTATTAGACCAAGTGGGATTTATTCCAGGAATGTAAGTGTGTTCAACATATGAACAACAATCAATGTATTACAACATATTAATAAAAGGGAGGGAAAAAACTCATTCATTCATCTCATTTGATACACAAAAAGCAGTTGGTAAAATTCAATGATCTTTCATGATAAAAACACTCAGAAAACTGGGAATAGAAGGCAACTTTCTCTACATAATAAAGGGCATCTGTAAAATCCCACAGTTAATATCATACCTAACATGAAAGACCAAAAGCTTTCTCTCTAACATCAGGAACAAGACAAGGATTTCTGGTCTTGCCTCTTCTATTCACATTGTATTGGAAGTTCTAAAATTCCAGCCAGAGCAACAAGGCAAGAGAAAGAAATAAAAGCCATCCAAATCGAAAAGGCAGACACAAAACTGTCTCTAGTCATAGATGACATGATTTCATATTTTATATCACACAAAAAATCTATTAGAGCTAATAAAGGAATTCAGCAAAGTTGCAGAATATAAGATCAAAACTCCACTGTTTTTCTACAATGGATAACTACATTGAATACCAAACTCCATTGTATTTCTATACACCAGCAATGAATAATCTGAAAAGGAAATTAATAAAACAATTACATTTAAAATAACATCAAAAATAATAAAATATTTAGGAATAAATTTAACCAAGGAGGTTAAATTATACACTGAAAACTACAAAACTTTGGTGAAGGAAATTAAAGACCTAAATAAAGAGACCCTCTATGTTCATGGATTGGAAGACATAATATTATGATGGCAATATTTCCCAAATTGATCTACAAAGTCAATGCAATCTCTATCAAAATTTCAACTGCTTTTGTTAACAAATAGACAAGGTGATTCTAAAATTTGTATGGAATTGCAAAGGATGCATAATATCCAAAATCCTGAAAAAGAAGAACAGTGTTGGAGAACTCACTCTTTTCTATTTCAAAACTTACTACAAACCAAAAGAAAGCAAGAGTGTGGTCCTAGAATAAGAATAAATATATAGGTTAATGGAATATAATTGAAATTTATTTCTAACAAGGATTCTAAGACCTTATTATTCTAAGAGAATATCTAAAGAGATTATTGTAAGAATAATCTCTTACACGAATGGTGCTGGGCCAATTGGATATCCAGATGCAAAAGAATGAATTTGGATCCTCTACCACATACATATACACCATATACAAAATACCATATACACCATATATAAAAATTAATTCTAAATGGATCAAAAACCTAAAAGTAAGAGCTAAAACTATACAATTCTTGACAGGAAACTTAGGTGTAAATATTTATGATCTTGGATTAAGCAATTGTTTCTTAAATATGACAACAGCACAGGCAACAAAAGAAAAATAGAAAATATAAACTTCATCAACATTGAAAACTTAATTTTTTGAATTGACATGTAGTAATTATACATATGTAGGTGGTAAAAAGTGATATTGCAATACATATATACAGGTATATTGATCAATCAAGGTAATTAGCATCTCAAACATTTATAATTTCTTGTGTTAGAAACATTCAAAAATCCTCTCTTCTAATTTTTTGAAAATATGCAATAAATTATTCTTAACTATAGTTACACTACAATGCTGTAGAACACTAGGATTTATTCCTCCTATCAAGCTGTTAGTTTGTATTTCTTAACCAATCTCTCCCCATTCCCCCCTCCTTCTACCCTTCCCATCCTCTAGTAACCACAATTCTACTCTCTAGTTCTATGAGCTCAGCGTTTTTAGCTCCCACATATTAGTGAGAACATGTGGCATTTATCTTTCTGTGCCTGACTCATTTCACTTAACATAATATCCTCCAGGCTCACCTATATTGCCATAAAGGACAGGATTTCACTTTTTTCTTATGGTTGAGTAATATTCCATTGTGTACATATGCCATATTTTCTTTTTTCATTTGTTTAAATTTATGGAATATAAGTGTAATTTTGTTACATGAATATATTGTGTAGTGGTGAAGTCATAATAGTCTCTAATAATCCTTTGTATTTTTGTGGCATCAGTTGTAATGTCCTTTTATCATTTCCAATTTTATTTATTTGGGTATTCTCTCTTATTTTCTTAGTCTACCTAATGGTTGATTGATTTTGTGTATCTTTTCAAAAACCTTTTTGTTTCATTACTATTTTGTATTTTTAGTCTCTTTCAGTTAATTCCACTCAGAATTTTATTATTTCTTTCCTTCTACTTATTTGGGGTTTGGTTTATTCTTGCTTTTCCAATTCCTTGAGGTGCATGATTAGGTTGTTTATTTAAAATCTTTCTACTTTTTAAGGTGAAGTTTATTGCTATAAAATCCCTGTTAGTACTGCAATTTCTGTAGTCCATAGGTTTCGGTATGTTGTATTTCTGTTTCCATTTGTTTTAGGAAATGTTTTACTGTCCACCATAATTTCTTCATTGAACCATTGGTCATTCAGGACCATGTTGTTTAATTTCCATTTATTAATATTTGTATAGTTTCCAAGTTCCTCTTATTATTGATTTCTAGTTTTATTATACTGTGATCTTAATAGATTCTTAATATGATTTTGATTTCCTTAGATTTATTTAGACTTGTTTTATGGCCTAACATATGGTCTGTCCTGGAGAATGTTTCATGTGCTGATAAGAAGAATGTATTCTGTAGCTATTGGATAAAATGCTTTGTAGATGTCCATTTCATCCATTTGGTCTATATTGCAGTTTAAGTCCTATGAATTTTTGCTGATTTTTTTGTCTAGATGGTCTGTCCAATGTTTAAAGTGCAGTGTTGAAGTCCCAAATATTAATATATTAGGATCTATCTATCCCTTTAACTCTAAATATATTTGCTTTGTATATTCGAGTGCTCTGTTGTTCAGTGCATATATATTTATAGTTGTTATATCCTCTTACTGAATTGATTCATTTATCATTATGTAATGTTCTTCTTTGTGTCTTTTTATATTTTTTGACTTGAAGTCTTTTTTTTTTTTTATGTAAGTATATCTATTCCTGCCTGATTTTAGTCTCAGTTTGCATGGGATATCTTTTCCCATCCCTTTACTTTCAGTCTATGTGTCTTTACAAGTGAAGTGAGTTTTTTGTAGGCAGCATATATTTGGGATTTGCTTTTTATCCATTCAGCCAGTCTATATCTTTCAGCTGATGAATTTAAGCCATTTATATTCAAGGTTGTTATTGATATGTGTGGACTTACTCCTGTCATTTTGTTAGTTGTTTTCTGATTGTTTTGTATAATCCTTGCTTCTTGCTTCCAGTCTTATTGTTTATTTTTGTGGTTGGGTGGCTTTCTATAGTGATAATGTTTGATTCCTTTCTCTTTCTCATTTGTATGTCTTCTTTACCAGTGAGCTTCATACTTTTGGGAGTTTTAAAAATGGTAGGTATCACCCTTTCATATGTAGGATACCTTTAACCATCTCTTGTAGGGCCAGTCTAGTGGTGATAAGTACCCTCCGTTTTTGCTTGTCTTGGAAAGAATTTAATTCTCCTTCATTTCTAAATGAGAGCTTTGCAGGATATCATACTCTTGTCTAGCCATTTTTTTTTTCTTTCAGCATGCTGAATATATCATCCCATTTTCTCCTAGCCTATAAAGCTTCTGCTAAGAAATCTTCAGTTAAACTGACAGAGATCCCCTAATATGTGACTTGATGATTTTCTCTAGCCATTTTTATAATTCTCCCTTTGTCTCTTGACATTTACCTAAAATATGCCTGGTAGTGGATATTTTTGAGCTGAATCTATTTGGAAATCTTTGAGCTTGCTATATCTGGATGTTTATTTCTCTCTTAAGACTTAGGAAGTTTTCAGCCATTATACAATTAAATATGTTTTCTGTGCCTTTTTTCATTCATAGCTTCACATTTTGAAACTCCCTTAATGCAAATATTTGTTTCCTTAATGTTGTCTCATAAGTCTAGTAAGTTTTCTCCATTCTTTTTTATTCTTTTTCATTTTATTTTTAGTCTGACTCATTTATTTCAAAACACCTGTCTTCAAGTTCAGAAAATCTTCTGCTCAATATAGTCCTTATTGTTGAAGCTCTCAATTGTATTTAAAATTTTATTCATTGAATTCTTCCATTCCAAGATTTCTTTTGGGGTCTCTTTTATAATATCTAGCTCTATTGAAGTCCTCATTCAGATCATCAATTTACTTTCCTAATTTCATTTACTTGTCTATCTGTATTCTTTTGTATATCACTGAGTTTCCTTAAGATCATTATTTTGAATCATTTTTCAGGCATTTAATAGATTTCCTTTTCTTTGGGGCCTGTTACTGGGGAATCACTATATCCCTCTGGAAGTATGTTTCCTTGCTTTTTCAGGTATCTTATGTCTCCCTGTTGATACCTGTGCATCTAGTGGAATAGTCACTTCAAATTTTATGAAATAGCTTTCATAGGGAAAGACTTTTTCCTGTAAATTTGTCCTGTAGTGTAATTTGGGTGCGCTGTTTTAGCTTTGGTTCTGGGTAGTCACAGCAGTGTAATCTCTCTGTGGTTTCTTCAGCTGTATTCAACATTAGTGGTGTCTGCAAATGCCTCAGTAACCTAGGCTGAAGGGGACTGTGGAGGCTATGGTGGGGTGTGTGGTGGCTTAGCCACTGGAGTATGTGAGGTCACTGACAGTGATGGACTCCTGGCAGCTGGTCCTTGGGCTCCTGGGAGGACATGTGGGTATTTAGTATCTGAGATGCTGAAGTGGGTGTGGTCATAAGCAGAAGCAGATCCCAAGTGGGTCAGTCCTCAGGCCCGCAGGGGAGGTGAGGTGCATGGCAACTCTGCCAATGAAGTAGGTCAAGCTGCTGGTGGAGGCAGGCTTCAGGCTCTTGGCTCTTGGGCTCTGGGAAGCAGGTACATTGGCTTCCTCTGTCATGGAGATGGCCTCCCTGCTGTGTTGGACCACCCGTTCCCCAGAGTGGTAGGATTGTGGGCTCGGATGCCAAGTTCACAGCTACACTGTTGGGTCCTGCTAGGTTTGTGGCCCTGAAGTCTTCTGTTTGGGTATGAGATCAAGGCCTCAGGGATATGGCAGTGCAGGAACTACTGGACATCTGGGCAGGATGCATTCTTGTAGTGGCTCCATCCTCAAAATGGTGCTGTGCTGCAGCAGCCTGGGTCCCAAGAGTTAGGGGGCACCCAGTGTGAGTTCCCTTTCTGGAGTAATACAATTTCATGGATTCTCGACAGCTCCCTACACTGGACTCAGGACCTGTGAAGACTGCGTGGGGTTCTCCTGCAGCTAGGATGCAGGTGTCTGTGGTGGTAATGTAAATTGCTAATGATTTCCCATCTACCTTTTCTCTGCAGTGGGGAGTCCCTCTCAACTCCACACTAATCCCAGACATCATCCCAGCTGATCCACTTCCTTCTATGCTGCCATTCCAACTTCCCATGCTTTAGAGAGTTTTTGTCACTTCCCCCTGAATTCTAGTGTTTTCCCTTAGACACTCTGTACAAGGTATGCTTATCTACTTGATCATTTGGTCCTTCTTTATGGAGGATTTAAATGCTGGGCACAGACACTTCTAGTCAGCCATCTTGATGACATCCCCAAGACTAAAAATTTTATTCATCAAAGGACACTATTAAGAAAATAAAGACAGTTTAGAGAATGGGAGAAAATATTTGTATATCATATAGCTGATGAGAATCCTGAATATATACAAAACTCTTACAATTCAATAATAAAGTACAAATTAGCCAATTCAAAAATGGGCAAAGGATCTGAATAGACATTTCTGCAAGAAGTATAATGGCCAATATGTACATATAAAGATGCTCATCAATCATCAGAGAAATACAAATGAAAAACACAATGAAATATTTTCACACCCACTAGGATATCTACAAAGCAAAGCAAAGCAACACAAAACAACAACAACTACTACGAAACAAAATAGAAAATAACAAGTGTTGATGAGGTGTGCAGAAACTGAAACCTTTGTAAATTGCTGGTTGGAATGTAAAGTGGCGCAACCACAGTAGAAAAAAAAACAGTTTGGTGGTTTCTTAAAAAGTTAAACATTGATTTATCATAAGACCCAGTAATTCTACTCCTAGGTAAATACTCAAGAGAATTGAAAACAAGTGTTCAAACAAAAAATTATACATGAGTGTTCATAGCAGCCCTATTCACAATAGCTAAAATGTGGAAACAACTCTGTGTCCATCAACAGACGAATGGGCAAAAAAAACGTGGCATATGCAAACAATAGAGTGTCCTTCGGGCATCAAACAGAAAGAAGAACAGATTCATGCTACAATATGGATAAACCTTGAAAATATGCTAACTGAAAGAAGCTAGACACAAAAGGCTACAGTATTGTATGGTTGTATTTACATTTAAAAAAATGCATAATAGGCGTAGAGCAGAAAGCAGATTAGTGGTTGCCAGGAGGAGCTGGGTGGAGAAGGGAAAGACCAGTGATTGCTCAATGCACACAGGGTTTCTTTTGGGGATGGTGAAGGTTCTGGAATTAGACAGTGGTAATGGTTGCAAAACTTTGGGAATGTATTAAATGTCACTGAATTGTACACTTCAAAATGACTAAAAGTGTAAATTTTATGTTATATGAATTTTACTTTAATTAAAAAAAATATATGAGGTAAGAGGAAGCATTTAATGATTCTTATTTTACGCCCATGATTATGCGAGTCATTTTCCAAGTGTTTGTCATTGATTCAAGTGGACATTTGTCTATAAACAGGTCATGACTTAGTTGAAGAGAAGGTCCAAACTGGACTGTAAACTTTAGAATTTCCTCTGATTCTGCCTTATCCGTGAAGCCTTTTCTGAGCTCTCCTAATTTACTACATTTTATGTAATACTTCTCTACCTTTTCACACTTCTGTTATTGCACATATTATGCTTTGGTTTTATTTTTTGCATTTGTTTTCTTTTACATTGTGACATGTGTATTGTCTTTTACTAGGTTGTGAGTGCTTCAAGACTGGGGTTCTTCTTTTGTGTTTGCATTTCTGGAACTTGGAGTATCACTCAGCACATAGTATATATTCAATAAAGATTTCCATTGGCCAGTTTGATTTACATATTTGGTTCCTGTAAGTATACTACATTAATGGCTCCTAAAATAGCCATGCCTGTTTGACTTGCCTATGCAACACTCAGCATTCATTTCCCAGAATGAAACTAGGTCACATCTGGGACACATGAACAGTTTGAAGAATTCTTCTGTCTGAAATACAAAACCCTTGAGTATATATCAAAGATAATCAAGCTGATCATTCATGTCAAAAACTTTAAGCAACTAAAACTTTATTTGGTTTATTACAGTTTGGGTCTTTGCTCTTTTACTTCATTTATTAACTTTATAGTAACAGAAAAATTTACATGCTGTGACAATCCAAGCAGGATGAAAATGGCAAAAAGAAAAGCAAACATTTTACTTTATGAGTCTTTTACTTTGTGAGATTCCCCCTATGCTGTGGTTATTTTGTTTGGTTTGGGGGACAACTTGTGCACAAAGGATCTAATGCATCTCTGTTCTCTTGTAAAAAACTTATGCCAAAAGAGAAAAAAATTCTCTCTAGCACTAAAGAGGATCTGAGCAAGAAAGCCTCTTCTGACAGCAATAACAATTAGGGTACTTTAAAATAAAAGAAGCATGTCGAATTATCTGACTGGTGATTTCTAGGGCCAACAACAGAATTTGCTGGATACCCATGAGGCTTTCATTGTGCCTGTGCTAGACACTTCAAACAACATACTTTGCGGCCAGTAGTTACTTTCTCTATTGTTTAAGTCATTCTTAAACTTTATCATTTTTTGTGAAAAGGAGGCAAAGCATTTCCTTTCTGATGGAAAATCATTTGAATATTATAAGTCATGCAAAAAATAGGGCAAGTAAGAAAAATAGTCATTCCATTAATTATGTGTATGTCTGCTCACCTCCACCCTACATCCAGAACCATAAAATGACAAAAGAAAAATCACATACTTGCCCTTTGCTGCACTATTTCCCTTTAAATTTTATTGAAACCTAGAAGACTATTTTATATCTTCCATAAATGCTAGCATTTCTATTGTTGTTATTCAGGCTAACTGAGCTGATTAATCCTGATTATTTCTCTTTTTTCTGTTCACATTCCAAATTTGGGAAATGAGATCATCTGATGGAAAGGATCTGAAACCTGTGTCTCAGATTCCTGTGAAATCTGTTCTGCTTTTCCTTGTATTGTACTCCTGTCTTCAGATTTATCAGCATTTATTGAATAGCTACTGTAAGGGGTCCTGCCTCTGTGCTTGGCCTAGAGTGGGGGCTCAAAAATAGAACTAAAGTCCCTTCCCCTTCCACCTTCTTATAAATATTCTTTGTATCAGTCAGGGCCCTGGCAAGGAAGAGAGTGCATGCTCCTGGCTGGTGCCATGGAAGGCAATTGCCCATCCGGAGTTGTAGTCATAAAGGGAGCAGCTACAGCTAGACCCTTGGCATCAGTGCAGCTTTCTTATTGGCTGAACTGAACACAAAGCCAGAGAGCAATGGGAGCCTGGTGGTGCAGTTCCCAGTGTCAGCCTCCCAGGACAGGGAGCAGGGCAGAGAAGCGAGGGGAGTGGATCCAGGTGACTAGAGGGAAAATAAAGAGAAAACTCAGTTCATCATTTAATTTTCAGAACAATTCATGAAATAGCATTATTATCCACATTTTGCAAATGAAGATATTGAAGTAGTCAAGTTTAAGTAACTTGTTGAAAGTCACATGGCTACTAAATGGCAGACCTAGGATTTAATTTCATGTCTCCTAATCCCACTTTATTCTTTTATACCAAAATGTCCTATAGGATCTGCCTTATGTTTTAGACAGCTTGAATCTTGTGAATGATTATGCCTTCCATTTTAATCTGACTATTAGGAAATTTGGAGTCAAATTTTAAGCCTCATTTGCTAAGTAGGCTTGCATTTCCTAGTGGTCTTATCTTACTATTTGATTTTACTTTCCTTTTTCCCTGATATCTTTATCTTTTTATATTACATATATTTTCTTCCATGTCTTTTTTGACAAGATGAAGAGTAAACAAACAAATAAATGAATAACTGCATAACCTTAAGCCTGTGCTTAATCAGCCTCTTCTCTGATGCAGAGCCTTGACTTTCTCTATATAGGGCTTGTGAACCCCTTACCTCCACCCCCAAACACACATATCCATGATCTTTGTGTTACAGTTGGTTTTACATTCACGATCTTCTTCAACAAAGTGCCCCCAGAAGCCAATTCTGATCAATGAGTATCAGGGGAGCTGAGACCTATTTGCTATGCTTGGTATAATATGACCAGAAAATTAACTGATAATACTATAGGATCTTTAATATGGAAATGCCGTATAGAGAACAGCTTCCAGTTTAATAGAGGATATCCTACAAGCTTTTTACTCGAGCTTTTTGTATGCAATGAGCATCATGATAGTCTGCTTCCCGTACTTCAAGTACTTAAGTAAAAGGCAAAATGAGCAATATGTGAATGCACTCTCTCTTCATATAATTAATTTTTCTTCCCCAGACTCACACTGGTGGCATTATTCCAAGGATATCTCAATGGTCGCTTAACAAAAAGTGCTATGCTATTTGTTTTTATCATCCCAGATAAAGGCCTATTTGGCCTTATTAATTTAGTTAGCGCCACTAAAACTGCAGGGTCCCAGTTCCATTATCTAATATCCTGAAGCAGCACTACAACACCATTCAGGCAAGAGTGGAATTCATTTAAGCAAGTCAAGACTTGGATTCCATTCAAGACCATTTAGTGAAAATTCCAGAAGAACCATTTCAAGAAGCTTTGTGCCTAAGATGGTAATGGCACAGGTCACTGTAATTATCAAAATTTTACTGATGATATCCATTTCTTATAGTTTTATAAATATTTGTAGATTATGATGTTTTTGCATATATTTTCTCCTAACTCAAAAGTAAAGTGTTACATCTCCTTTTAATATACATATCTTCCTGTGGGTGTATAAACATGTAATCAAAACAAGAGTTAGATTCTGTGGGAGAAATATCCAAACTGGATGATTGGCATCATTAAGATGTTCTTTAACCAAATTGTTCACCCTCTACTCTGTTTTGTGAAACCCAGGTACATTGGCCTGCAGTTTTCATCTCAAGAAATGACCATTCTTTGCTCAGGATGACAGCCTTGACACTTTCTCTTTCTCTCCCAAATTGAGTTTTGAGACTCTGACATTGGCACAGATATGAATATTTCAGCTTCAGAAACATTCTATTCTTTGATGTGTTTAACAATTAATATTAAGAAAATATTCATGATTCTGACTCTTTTCAATCTAGAATCTTCCTTAATGTTGTTCTTTTCCACATTTTTCCCACTTCTCCAATTGTTTCAAAGATGAACAATGAACATTTCATTATGTTTTTACATTTTTAAAACTTCTTTCTCACAGAAATCACCTCATTATATTTCCATATCATTCTGTATAGTAAACGTCATGTTTCACACTCTCACAATTAAGATATTAATGTTCTGGCATTCAGAACCAGATAAGCTCTAGGAGGGTGAGCTGTTCATCATGTATTATGGATTCAAAGATATCTGTGGACAACCCAATACCAGACATTATGAGGGATACAAAGTTATACAGAACATCCTAGTACACATCCTCCACACTCCAAGAGTAACTTCCAGGGCTTTCCCACATGCTGTTTTCTTTGCTTAGAAGACTCTTCTAATTTCTCTAAACTCTTCTTCACTTCTCTACACTCCAGGAGATGGGTATCAGGTCCATATAAACTACTGAGTTCCCGGTCGCTAGCACAATGCATTGGTAAATGCTCAGTTAGTATTTGTTGCATGAATGAACCTGGTCTATTGTCTTGTTGCCTCTTGCGGTCCCTCTAGTAATTACAATTCCTTGTTGTAATTGCAGCTCATATTTCTCTCGCTTTTGGAGTTCTTCCTGCTCTTTCTGCTTCTGACTCTGAAATAACATCTTAAAAAATAGAGGACATAGAAGATCTCAAGAGTCTTTCCTCATGACAATTTATATGGAAATTTTGTCTGGGTTCACTGTCAGTCCAAATAGGAAGAGTCACACTGGGGAACTAAACATACAGCCTGCTGGAATTAACGAGTTTAAAAACAAAAATTCACCAGTTTCTGACTTTTCTGACTAGAAATAGTAGAATCATAAATTGTCTCCTGTTTACAAGTTCATATTTCAGCTACATTATTTAATTATTAACATTCAGTTAATAATTAATATCTATGACAAAGTTAGAATAAAATAATTGCTTCTAAAATGAGAATATAAATTTTAAAGGTTTAATGGGAGGGAAATATCATAACTTCATTACAATACTCAAGTTGTGACAGAGATAAGAAACATTATGTACATTTTTAAACTTATGAAATATTGTCATCATTATCTTCATAATCTTCTATTCAAACATTTGCACATCTATAGTTTGAGCACAGTGCCTGGCACAGAGTATGTGTTTGGCAAATGGTTTTGAAATGAGTGAGTACGTATATTATGGCTGATATTTGATAAGAACTTTATGGTGTACAAAGCTATTATTTCATTTGAACCTAATCACAACCCAGTAAGTCAGGTAGAGGAGTGATGACCACCAACTCTAACTTAAAAATGAAAAAAGAGTGACCTGGAGGGTTACTTAATTTGTCCAAGTTCACACAGAGCTAGTATGTGGTAGAGCTGCCTTTTAAACCCAAGTCTTATGACTCCAAGTCCCAAAGCTATTCTGGCTTCACTTTCAAACTTAAATTTATGTATAGTGGAAGGACTGAGAGAGAATTCCTTATCATTTTGAATGGCACTAAATATATTTCCAAAATACTAAAATGAATTTGGTCCAATTTTATTAAAATTAGAAAATTGTAAATCTAAATAGACATAGACACCATTAAAACAAATTTAGGACTTGAAAATAATTGAATAATTTATCACTAAAACAAAATGAAAGCACAGAGTGTGTGGAACAAAAGCAACTATGCTGTTAGTGAACTGTCAGCATCTCTTAGTATCAGGGAGTTATAATTACCACAAGAATAAAGAAAAAAATAAACCA